GGATCCAGCTGTGTGTTTACACATTAACTGCATGTTGCATGGTTTGTCAAATGCATGTTTTGGGCTGACTTTTTAGCCCTTATTGATCCACTCTTGTTATTTGTCTACCATGATACAGTAACCCATCTTTGTATTTAATATTTCCTCTATATCTTTGATACCAGAAGATGCTTTGACACAGAAATATTAGAACCTACCTTCATTCGGTCTTCTGGGACTGAGCAGATCATTCCTGTAGCCCATTTTTCCTTTGTTGATCAGATGGCTTGGATTCTGAATACTTCAGCCTGTGTCGCCAATCTCTCTCCTAATTAGTTGCATATTTCAAATTATATTTTATTATTTGTAAATCCCTTAATAGTAGATGCAGGTATATCAAAATGTTTTAGCAGAACTTTGCTGCTTTTTTTGCCTGCTTGTCTCCATTTCAAGCAAAGAAGGAGTGTGTGTAAACATTGCATCATTACTACAATCCTTTCAAACCAGACTGTCACTTTTAAATTACAAAGTAAAAACACATTACTTTAGCCTGGCAAGTGGAATTGTCAGGACTTCAAAAGAAGTGTTGTAAGGCACATTTGTATATACTATTGTGTTTCAAAACTTCTCTTAATGCAAGGCTTCCTAAGGAGAATTTTTAATAGTTTGAGGTATATTTAAAAAATTGTTTTTAAATGTCTGGACAGTTGGGATGAACAATGTGAATATCTTTCCACATATTAATTTTGTTTCAGAGAAATAGAATGGTTGTAAGTAGTGCCTGAAAACATTCGCCTCTGAATATCAGGATTGCCAATGGAACTCCATCTCATTTCCCTTTTGCCAGCAACCTCCTTCTCTGAAAAAGACCCCCGAATCCATTACCTTTGATGTTTTCTGTGGGCTTCCTGGTGGCTAAGACCCCCTATTTCTCCTGCACTCTGCTGTGGGCTAGCTGGTCGCCTCTCAAATCATGCATTTCAGTGTTTATGGGGATCTGCCTGCTGCCATCCCCCAAATCCATTAACGTCTTCTAGAGAGCTGGAGGCTGCCTCCTCCAATTGTGTTGAAAGAGGAAAAGCAGGAAACACTCATATCTAACACCTGTACCTTCTAATAGTGAGATGAGCTTAGAGACCTTGGGAGCTAAAAAAATCCTAAGATGACTCTCCCTCAGCTTTCTACAGCTTGCACAGCAGTGGCCAAGAGAATTTGCTGTGGTTGCAGTATGGGGGTCTTTACTATTGGGTTTGGGCACACCTGCTGAATAGGGAGGGACCCATGTAGCTGCAAAACCCAAAGAACAGGCCACTAGGCAATATCTCCCTGAAGACAAAGGTAAGGAGAGTTGTCCTGGGTTCAGTGCGGGAGAGGATTGCTCTGGGTCAAGAATGAGGTAGGAAGGAGTCCCAAAGACGGGCTTAATAGTGTACTATATAAAGCCCGGGGTCAGATTATTATTTAGGTATCACACAAGTTGGAAAATTACAGTATTAACCCATTCCTAATAGATAATAGAAATACTGCTGTATAAATGTATGTACCAGTAGTATGAGCTTTGACCAATGTGACTGCTACAATGTTTTTTTTATATTCTTAGCACAAGGCAAGATTCCACCTAATGCAACATTGATCTTTGAGATTGAACTGTATGCAGTGACTAAAGGACCACGTAGTGTTGAAGCATTTACTCAAATAGACATGGACAGTGACAAGAAACTCTCTCGAGATGAGGTAACATGAGTCAACTGACTTGGAATAGATCACATATATATAACACTACCAATAAACCAAAACATGCATTATCCCTATATGAGCTGCCTCTGATTCCATCTTTTACGTATTACTTTGCTATATGCAGGGCTACATCCCAGATTTACAAGGATGCAACGTTTGTTTCACTCTCACGCAGTGTCTAAAGTCTCCCCTTTTGAGGAATGAGTGTATTGAAATGTGTAGGGTCCATTAGTACATTTAAGAGGTTAATTCAGACTCTACACCCACTAAATTCTTGTCCTATCTGCTGCAACAATCAGCAAGAGTATCAATTATGGTTTCATGATAGAGATATGTGCCCACTACGAACTAGTCAGACATCAACTAATTTCACTCAAGCTCAGTTTTCTATTGAAAATATCTTCAAATGTGTCTATTCATTGAAGATTTTTACTATGCACTGTTACCTTATATTGAGACGATAGGGAGATAACCATTTCAGTACATTATTTTTGTTATAGAGTTCCTAATGTTTTGCTCCTTTTAGTGTACTTTTGCTCTGGAGTTTCAAGTGTTGGAGCTTTTAGCTGATGTCATTTTATATTTGTGATATGACTGCCTATATGCTAGTATTTATCACGATGAGCTTACAAAAATTAACTCTGAGCTATGTTTAGTATAATGTTTTAATTTTTTTCTTTTAGCTAAGCCATTATTTGAAACAGGAATTTGAAAGAGATGGTAAAAAACGTGATGCATCAGTTCACGGTTCTATTTTAGCCGATATATTTAAGAGGAATGACCATGACGGAGATGGCTTCATATCTGCAAAGGAGTACAATGTCTATCAGCATGATGAACTATAGCAAATTATTTCTAAAATCTCCTGACTGCTTTCTCTACCCTAGATTTAAAGAATCTCTAAAAAGAACTTTCATTTTGTCACATGATGTTTTACATTTTTTTTGTAATGGTAAATTTTTATACCTTTTAAGATGAGTGTTAAAAATCTTTCCAGTAACATTTCAGTTACTAATATTTTACAAAAGAAATAAAATTATAAAAAGTCATAGTCTGTCTTGCACAATCCTTATTTCAGGTATAAAATTTTGTGATTTTGTTGGACATGATTTAGCTGAAATTAGCATCTCTGCTTGACTAAAGCAGAGCACTAATCAGGTGACTCTTCTTGTGTCAGATACAATTAGAATCCTGATATTAGCGCACTCAGAATAAAGGTGTGGTTTCAATGTCACTGCTGAAACAAAAGAGCAACAGAACGAACTGGAAAACAGGATTCCCTGGAACACAGAACCCCCATCAAAGTCGAGAAAGATCATGAAAACATACAATAAAGAAAATTAGACAAAATATGAGGTTTGTTGACATGGGAGTTGAGTAGTGTTTGTCGGAGAAGCTAGGCTCTGACCACACTAAAATGAGACCGACCGTGGTATTTAAACATGGTTATTCTCTGCAGACTTCTAGCTCAATTTCCTCAACTGTGGAAAGGTATTTGAGAGACCTTTGCAACAAAAATATCAGACTAGTACATGGTCTTATAAATGATTTTAATATGGTTCTTAGCCCCTTCAGCCACCCCTCCCCCCCAAAAAGCCTGTTAGATTCAACAGGTTGGTGATAGAATTGCCAATTATGAGCTGAAATGTACTTGCTATAAATATATAAATGCTACTAAAAAAATATCTGTAATGCTAGATGCACAGGTAGTCTTAACAAGTGTGAACCATGTGGTTCAGTCATACCAAACTAATCTATGTCTTCTTTACATCCACTTCTTTACACCCACTGTCCTACTTGAAATACTTATGCTAAGATTTAAATAATAATTATGCTCTCTGTCTGTGTGTATATATATCTCCTCAATATATGTTCCATTCTATATGCATCCGAAGAAGTGGGCTGTAGTCCACGAAAGCTTATGCTCTAATAAATTTGTTAGTCTCTAAGGTGCCACAAGTCCTCCTGTTCTTCTTTTTGCGGATACAGACTAACACGGCTGCTACTCTGAAACTTAAGATTTTTGTAATGATGTCACATTTTATTGTCAAAATGTTGTTTAAATGAAAATTGTCCAGTCATGTTTAATTATGCTGCTGGCAAGAGGAATCTGTGTCAGGATTGTGCAAGCACTTCTGGACAAACCAGCATACAGCTGCAACTTAATGCTTTGTAGCATTAATTTATTACTATGGGGGGGTCACACCCTTCATAGCTTCTGTAGGACAAACTTCTTGTGCACCCAAGGGGTTCACTGTATTCCTCTATTCTACCCCCTGCATGCCACCTTCCCATCCTTCTCTAGTTGAGGGACTCCCTGCAGCTTTCCCCAATTTCTCCTCTGCCAGGGGTTGTGTGTGCACCCTCTACAGCAGGTGCCACATATCAGAGGCTCTGGGAGCTTTCTCCTTCCCCTCCCCCGCCCCCCATTGGCAACAGCACTGGGTGCTCCTAGTCTCCTTACCACATGCTAGGGGTTGTGTGTGCCCCCTTTTCTCCTACCAGCATCCCCAATTTTGCCCCCATACCAAGGATTGTGTGTCTCCCGGCCCTCATGCCAGCTGTGATGTGTACACACCCCATTCCCCCTATCATTATTATTTGTCTAGGAGATAAGTCACTCAATGTGTCAACATGTTAAATTCTTTAGGTAGAGGGGAGGTAGGGGGCGGTACTGTTATGCTGGAAAGCATTAATAGATGACATCAACCAGTTGCTTGATCTGTAGACAATTGCAGAGGTGCTAAAACTTATAACTATCCTAAATTGACAGCACTGGCTCCTTGGGTCCCTACTTTCTCCCCCTTTTGGTTTCTGATTTTCCTCAAAATCTGTAGGATTCTAGCCACTGCTGCCTAGACCAATTCCTGAAATTTTGGAATTGAGTAGGTGTGGCATTCAAAAGCTACCACCTTATCTACAGCCAGACATACACAGAAATTCAAAAATGTCAATTTGACAGCATTTAAGGTCTAAAGAGACAAGCATCATTGTGTTTTATTTGAATGTGTAATCATTACACTACACATTAATTGTAAGCTTCCACTAAAGCATGTGCATGCTGAAACTAGCAACACAAGAATGAAGCAGAAAGGCTGCCACATATACACAGCTTCTACTTAAGATAGAGGGAGTTAGGAGAGAGATTAAAATTCTTACTTTAAAATTGCAGTATCAAAAGAGAGCCAAGCAGGTCAGGCAGACGGGCCTAGCACTGCCAATTTCAATATTCTACACTGCAGTGCCCTCTGCTACATGCATTCCCCACTATGCAAACTTTTAATTTGGACCAACTTCTGTGGATGAGAGAGAGACAAGCTTTTGAGCCACACAGAGCTCTTCTTCAAGTCTCAGAAAGGAACTCCCAGTATCACAGAAGTTGGTCCAATAAAAGATATTTCCTTACCCACCTTGTCTATCCAATATCCTGGGATTGCAATGGCTACAATTTGACTGCATACGACTTTTTAATTTGTGATATTGGGCTCTACAGCTACTAGACCTGAGATGTAATAGGTGGGATTCAGTACACTAGTTTTGCAATGCAATATAATTTTGTTTGTTTTTTCCAAATATGAAAGCCACTAAAGTCAGCAGCAAATCTGAAGGCTTAAAAAAAAAAAGAGTCAGATTTGAGTTAGCCAAGTGCAAACTGTAGACTTGTTTGTGGTCCCTACAAATATAATCAGAACAGACATATGGGGAATTCACAGCCTAAAATGGAATCCATAATCACCAGTTACAATCCTTTTAACTCTTCCCTCTTGTAAATGAAACCTTAAACTGAGCTAGTTTTTAAATGTGCTTTTAATCTGATACTTCAATTAAACATTCATGATAGCACTAAATTATTAACACGTTTTCTCATTTTACCATCATACTCTGGTGTAGTTAAGGCAATATATAACATCTTGACAGACCAAATGTGCATAAGCAGCTTTTATAGTAAATTCCAAACTATATTCTGATTGCTACTCTGGAATTCAATTTCAACATGTATATATTACTTACCATGAATGATAAAATGAGAAAATACCCAAAGAAGAAAAGTAGCAATTTTTTTGAAGAAAATGTATATGGGGTATTTCTGAACTAGGTAATATAATTATCTTTATTGTAAAATAAAAGAATCACTTTACAATAAAAAAAGGAAATAGCATAACCAAATATTTTGCACTTTTAATGTCTGTTGAACTTAACTCAATATTCAACAATTTTGGAAATGTTGTGGCACAGTTACACTGAAGTCTATAACAATAGTCACATTCATAGATCATTTATCTCACTCTCTTGTGCCAGACATCAAAGCAGGGCACAGCATGCAGTCGTACATACTTTTGTCCATTAAAAGAACACTCTAGGCATCCATAAACTGTTTCTCTTTTAGAATTTCCCATTCCACAAAGGGCACAAGGACCTTTTGGGATGTTGTTATTAAGTAAATTAACCCGGATATGAGACCCTTCTCTGAGATAGCTTGTAGAGATATCAGTCATGCTTGCAGCTTTTTCATAATAGTCTGTAAAAAGGTCCTCCAAGTAAGCATCTGAATTAGCAATGATATCCATTACCCTTTTATCTGAAAAAGAATGCACACAAAATAGCAATGATTTGTCATCACACTATGAACACACCAGGACACATCATACTATTAATCCACTGACGGAAATAAGTACTGAATTATGAAGCCATATTAGAGACACCATTTTATGGTTGTAACTAGGTTTTCCATTGAAACCCTAATTTTGACACTTTTACTTCAAAGGGGAGGCAGAAATTTCTTACAGATATCGTCTGCCAGAGGACAATGTTGTCACTGATGAAATAACAACCCTACATCTCATGAACATTTTGAGCATTTGGAAAGTTGGTGATAATTCACATTTGAAATGTTTCTCTCACTTTTGGGGGGGGGGGGGGAGGGGAGAGGAGGGCAGGAAAAAGAAATGTACATCATAAACTCCAAACATAGTTTAATTCTGGTGTCCTCCAGGAGGGCCAGCACCTAATTAGTTTTGGAAAATTTGGTGTGTATATTTCTGAGCTGTTTATGGAATTCAGGACACTATTTACAATGATATGCAGGCTCACTGATAAACTCTCCAGGAGCAGAGACCTCCCATCAGACCCCAGTAGCCTTTGTATTTTTATAAATATTCCAGCACTCAAAAAAAGTGTTTGTGTACATCTGCAGGATTGTGAATCTCTTTAGGAATAGGACTGAAATCACTCTATCCTCTCAATAGTGGTCAGTAAGCACACTCCAACAGACCAGGGATCATTTTCTTCCACTTCCAACACGAGCATACATGCCTCAGATCTTGAATACTCTAAACACCCTAACAAGACAGGTTTGAGATAACTCTTGTACCTGATACAGGCCAGAAAGGTGAATGCAGATATTATAGTACAACAAAAAAAGACTATTACCACATTCTCAAATCTAAATTTGTCATCAGTATCTACAAAGAAGTGAAGTAATTTCCATTATGAATGGGAGCTGCAGGTACCCAGCACCTTTGGAAATCAAGCCATTTTTATTTAGATGTATAAATAAGAACCTAATTTTAGGCACCTAAGGTTGAAAGTATTGGCCTATACTCTTTTAATACATATAATTTTAATACATTTAATACAACATGGGACTCTCCATTTTATAACTAATGGAGTTGTTACATCAATAAGCAGTGTATAAGCAATGAAAAAACACAAAGTTAGAGTACTGAAATCTGAACTTAGTATTTCCAGACTGATGTTTATACTTTTTGAAATATGATTTAACTTGGTAATTTCCTGACTTTCATACCGTGAGCGAGATCTTCAGCCTCTCTTAAATCCCCTTTGCACCAATTGGGGCAAACGGGACTGAAAGCTGTCTTAAGACAGCAGGAAAGGACTTCCCTAGAATAGGTAAATTCTGTGTTGTTATAAGGTGGGCACAGCCATCCCCTACACCAGCTATTCCTGGCTCCCTATGCAGAGGCGATGTTCCAGGCCAAGAGTATGAAGCACTCCAAACAACTTGACCAGCAGATTGATTCCTTGGAGACTGTTATCCATTGGTGCAGGTTAGAGCAGCACTGAGGCTACTTAAACTTGCACTACAGGTTGGTTTGGTCTCCATCAGCCCCCAGGATCAGGGAGGGGCAGTGGTGCAAGTAGAAATCATTTCTTGCCAGTACGCTGCACTCATGGGAGGGACACAAAGCAGGGGGGCAGGTGACCTCCCCACATGACTACTACTCCCCTCCCCACCCTGCCTCCAGCCCGGGGCCCCCGCGCTCTCCCCATAATCCACATCTATCCCACATTACTGGGGTGGTGGTGCGGGGGGCGGGGGGGAGAGGCTCTGTCCTCCTCCCGCTGCACTGGAGACTTCTGCTGTACAGACCCCAGGCAGGAGGACTCAGGAGACACAGCTGTGTGGAAGGGCTGGGAGCCGGACTGGGAATGGTTCAGCCGCACTAGATGAGCTGCTGACGTGGGGTCGCCCAGCAGCCCTACGTTCTGCTCCTTTCACAGCTGCTGTTCCCGGGAGATCAGGGCTCACCAGAACCACAGCGGTGAAAGCAGCAGAATAACGTGGGGCTGCCGGGCAGCTCCATGCCGGCAGCTCCTCCGGCATGGCTGCTGTACCACCCGCAGCCTGACCCCCAGCCCTTCCATTTAGCTACTTCTCCTGAGTCCTCCTGCCTGGGATCTGTACAGCAGCCCTGCCAGAGAACGGGGGGGGTACAGCAGCCCTGCCAGAGGAGCTGCCCAGCAGCCCCACGTTCTACTCCATTCCCTGCTGCGGTTCCCAGGACCTGAGCAGAATGTGGAGCCGCTGGGCAGCCCCACACTGGCAGCTTCTCCGGCGCGGCTGCTGTACCACTCCCAGCCCCGCCCCCACAGCCTTGTCCGCCGGCAGGGCTGCTGTACAGACCCCAGGCAGGAGGACTCAGGAGATGCAGCTGCGTGGAAAGGCAGGGGGCGGGCTCCTCCTCTGTCTTTCCAGTATGCCATACCAGCTATAAATATCTTAAGTGGTACGGCGTATCAGACTGTACCACCGTACTTGCACCACTGGGGAGGGGTAAAAGTGGAGTAAAGGCTCCTACACAAAGGGCACCATTAGACGCATATGTTTACTGCACCACAACATTTATCTTTATTCTTGTATTTGTGGTTTTTCCCATTCTTAGAATATGAAATACTGAAAATGGAGCCTTATCCTTCATTCACTGAAGTAAGTAGCAAAATTCCACTTGACTTCAGTGGTCCAGGATCAGGCTCATACTACAGTAAATTTAACTACCAGGGATGGTAAATATCCAGTTTTTAATTGTACCCAACATACAACATTGTTAAAATGTTTTCATGTTATTTGAAGATAAGAAAGAAAATCTATATATAGATACAGGCCAATTCCCTGTCAATTGAAGATTACGCCCTACTGAGCATTTTCTAGTATTTTAAATTAATAAATATATAACATTTACAACCTCAACTTTATCTTATCTTTATATATCATCCTTTGATATCGACTATGCAATACTTTCTAAATTGTAAAAATATAGAACAAATTTACATACTAAGATATTGTAGTTGTACAATTAGTATTTATGATCACCAATACCATTTATTTTAAGAAAACAATTAGAAGTTTTCATGATAAGCAAAATAATATATTCATATTAATTAAAAATATAATTATTTAAAACCAGACTCTCTCCATTAATATCTTAAAATCTTTACAATTATTTTGACTAGATCTGATCATAGCCAAAATAGCTATTATCTTGGTGCAAATTTTAAAGTGGAATTCTATCTTGATTAGATGCTTTTGAACTTCTGACCTTTCCGACTAAGTCAAAGAAAAAAAACATGCACTTAATCCATTTGATTAGTGTATTTGGACATAAATATCAAACATCATACTTCGGTGGAACAGATTCCTCCTTAATTTGTTCAATGAAAATGATCCAGATTGCTCTTTTTCAAATCCTCCTTTTGAAACTGGAGTGACACAGAACTCTGTATTAAAGGAAAAAGTAGAACCTTCGGAACAATGAAATTCAAAAGCTATACAATTTCGAAACACAGCTTAGTACAAAACGTTTTCTGTTATATAACATGTACAGTATTATAAAGCTAAGAGAATGCTTAAAATTAAATACAGCTTTCCTATTAGTCATTCTACTGGTCTTTAATTCCTAGGGAAGATGGTGTAAAACAACATGCACACAGTGTTAGCACAAAAAATGAGATGACACAGAGAGAGAACAAGATGAGATGAAGTAGTAACTACATCATTTATTAATTTAGATGGTTTATAGTGACCTTCACATTAGGCATTTCCTTACGGTTTCCTGGCCAGGTTAAATGTCTAAGGCAGTCAGCATTCCATTAACAGACTGCCTCACGTTTGGAGTAAAAGCAGAGTCACACACCCATTTGAAACCAAAAATGGAAAATCTGCAATTGTGAATGGTTTTCTGTGATTCCCAACCATGTTATTCACCACATAATCAGCTGTAAAACTTTTAAATAAAACATAAATAAAATTCTTAATTTTTTTAGCCTCTAAGGTTGTAAAGAAAAGGCTTTGAAGTAAACTGATGCCATATTGTCTTAATACATTTACAAAGAACTTTAAAGAGATATACTAACAGCTCTCATTCATCTGTATTGGGGATTACCTCTGCACCTTAATGATAAAAATTTAAATATCAATATTGCTATTTCATTGGTCATTTTAGTAAAAACATCTAACTAGTGCACCTATCCCCACTGTGCAATGACAAAGTAAAATGGAAAATAATTCCAAAATTAGGATTTATGTGTTTAATTTAATATTAAAATGAATATCAGAGGGATTCTGTACTGCTTGTATTATCTTTTTTCATAGTTAATTCAATAACTACTTTGTTTTTTTAATGCACATAGGGTTGTCACAGAAATGTAAATGTGTCACTATGCTTCAAACTTCAGAGTGCCTTTGTCATAGAATGTATCTCCAATGTGTTGCAAAGCATCTGGGGCCCCAATCAGAACCTCTAACAAGTGCGTAGTGTTACATGCATATATGGAGATAGATAATATTTCATGAGGTAATTCTTATCTTTTTGGTTATATTTTTTAAATACAATCTAAATTATATGGTCACTAAAGGCCTGATCCTGCACTTCTGAAGTCAATGGGAGTTTTGCCATTAAGTTTAATGAGTGCAGGATCAAGCCCTAAAACTATATTATGGATTATTATTCCCCCCATACTTTGATTGACTGAAGGTTCCCATCTAATTGTAGTCCTGGGCTGGGATAAAGCACACTGGGAAATGAGGGGAATTTATAAAACCATATCCTTTCCACAGACTGGGAGAGTAGTAGGCAGGTCAATCCACTTTGTTTTGTGTAACTGTGTTTTTTTTAAACTTTGTAAAGATTTGGAGGTGACCGTGTCTGACTAGTCTCTGACTGTGTTTCCCTGATTTGAGGCAAACTGAAATAGAAGCTCCAGGCAGGAGAAATATTTTTGTTTATCAGTTTCACAGACGTGCCTTTTTTAGAGGGGCCTGCCATGCCACATTCTTCTTTTATGGAGAAATGGATCAGATGGCCCTAAGATATTCAGTTTCTTACAAACCAGCAAAGGCATACACTGATATGCAGATATATTTTTAATGTTTCATTGCTAACAGTGTGATTTCATTTTTCAAAAACTTACATTTAAATATCTGATATAGTTAATTCTCTGAAATCATTTCCAGGATAAATCAGACCCTTTAATGCCTTTTATATTTATCCTAGCAAGAACTAATTGTGGATTAAAGCTAAGGCTCTGATGAGGTCAGACAACTGACATGTATAAAGTTAAGTATGTGCATAAATATTTATAGGATTGGGTCTGACACATGTCAAATCTCAGTTTAAGAACAATGTTTTAAAGAATCAAATTACTATATTAGCAATTATAATAATAACACAAAAAAATTACTTACCAAAATTACCATCTAAGTGAATATAAAGTTCAAATACACTAAATGCAATAGTTGTGTGAGCTGGAAAAACAATAGCTTTGTCTCGTCCCTTGTGATTTTGGTCCTCAATAATATGAAACTATGATTTAAAAAAGGAAAATTTTATTTCATTAAGAAAAAATATTTACAAAAAAATGTTTTGAACAGAAATGAAAATTAAGAGTAATAGCTTTAAAATATAGTATGAAAATTTCAGCAATGGAAAGACTCTTTTGAAGTTGAAGATCAAACTCCACCTCCAAAGAAATTTTCCCAGTTCTGATCAGTATACTAATGTCATCCTTTCTTTTCTGCACTTCAGTAATGTTTGATAGAGAGAAAGTGTCAACTGGCCATAGAAAATTAGGCAGTATATCCGATACATAAATTAGTGATAAGCATAACTCAAAGGACTTGCAGGATTATGCAAACCTAATGATATGCAAACCTAATTATCCAAACTTTCTGAGATCCCTGCTCTCTGTGTACAACTAACAATATCATAGCTTTATCCTTCCAGTAACCCAGACTCCCAACAAGCCTTAGCTTTCTGACTTCCTGCAACCAGGTCCAATCATTATATCTCCTACTTTGACAAGTCAGTCACAGTTTCTATTTGAGGGGAAGCTAAGAATCCAATCCAAAGCCCACTGAAGTTAATGGAAAGAGTCCCATAGACGTCACTGGATTTTGGATAAGGATCTAAGAGGCCTGCTTCTGTTCTCCCAATAGCAGCTCCTCTTTGGAGGAGTCAGAGTGGGCCTCCCTCATGTTTGGATGAAACAGCAATGACAGGGCCAATATCTTGTGTTGCCATTCTTCAAATATTATATGGTCTGGGACTATATGCCATAAAGCATATAAAATCTTAATTCAACACACACATACACACCGCATCCCATTCCACCCTTGATTTATCTCAACTGTTTTCTGTATCTTCACCCTGACCTATGTCTTTGTTCATTTTGTTTTTCACTTCTCATCTCTTTTCTTCTCTGTGTATTTTTTCTAGTTTTGCTTTCTATTTTTTCACCTTGTTTTTCTTTTCACTCCTCTTCTCCCCACCTAGTGAGGAGGGCTTTAAACTAGGTTCGACGGGGACAGGTGAGCAAAGCCCACAGGTAAGTGGGGAACATGGAGACCGGGGAGATGGGTCGGAAACGAGAGGGAGTGTGGGCTATATTGTCAGAGAGAAAGGAGGGTCAGGACAAAACTGGGAGGAAAGATCAAACCAGTATCTTAGATGCCTATATACAAATGCGAGAAGTATGGGGAATAAGCAGGAAGAACTGGAAGTGCTAATAAATAAATACAACTATGATATTGTTGGCATCGCTGAAACTTGGTGGGATAATACACATGATTGGAATGTTGGTGTGGATGGGTACACCTTGCTCAGGAAGGATAGACAGGGGAAAAAGGGAGGAGGTGTTACCTTATATATTAAAAAAGTACACACTTGGACTGAGGTAGAGATGGACATAGGAGACGGAAGTGTTGAGAGTCTCTGGGTTAGGCTAAAAGGGGTAAAAACAAGGGAGATGTCATGCTAGAAGTCTACTACAGGCCACCAAACCAGGTGGAAGAGGTGGATGGGGCTTTTTTTAAGCAACTAACAAAAATATCCAAACCCCAAGATTTGGTGGTGATGGGGGACTTCAACTATCCGGATATATGTTGGGAAAATAACACAGCGGGGCACAGACTATCCAACAAATTCTTGGACTGCATTGGAGACAACTTTTTATTTCAGAAGGTTGAAAAA